AAATAAAAGCTTTTTGGAATTGTTATTGTGATTAAATCATTCTTTACTCTCTGTTTCTGAAGGGATATTAATTTCCTCTGTACATCCATACAGGTGAGTAAAAGAAACAGGACGACATGCCCGAAGGCTCTTTGTTAATGTGGGTCCTGGCCTAAGACATGTGCCACGTTCCCAAGGATTGTTCCAGAAAACCAAGGAGTGGTAACCTTTACCATGGGACTGAAAGGTGTGCTCCTGTTCACCCCAAGCTCTAAAATTAACCCCAGGTCTCTGCATTCAGAAGTGTTGAGTGCCCAGGCCACCCCACTGAGAAGGAGCTGGGAAGGTGGATGCTGTGGGGTATGGAGGCAGGCAAAATGTTCTCCACTCTGTTCAGGCCCCGAAAAGCTGGGGAAAGAAGCCTTCCTTGAAAGCTGTTGATAAATTCTGGCGGGCGGTGACTCTTAAGTTTTACATAAGTTTGGATAGTTGATTAAAAGATAACTAAAATTGAGTGTTTACCGCACACCAGGCACAGGTCTAAGAGCTTTACATGAATTATTGTTTTTAAAATTAGTCATAGCCTCCAAGAGGACGGAGGCCCAAGGTCCCACAGCTAAGAAGTGCCATTGCTGGGACCAGACCTCTGCTCTCAGCTGCCAAGCAGCGCCTGGCAGGTAGAGGAAAGCTAGCCGGGCGCCCAGGAACGGCACATTTAGCAGGTGCCACAGGCATCCCTTCACTCTGAGAAGCCCTGCTCTTGGGTGCAGGGACCTCTGTTGGTTCCCAGTGTTCCCCATGCTCTGCCACGTAGGGTCTGGAATCCAGCTGAACTGATCCTGCTCCAGGTCCTGCAGGTGCAACAACAACTAGACCTTCCCCTGGCCTTAGCAGGAGAGAGAGAGCTCACCCAGGGCACATCTATTTGACCCTGACACTGTGGAGGGCCCAGCAACCTTGACCATATCTATGCTGTTAAATAGCACGGACAGCATTGCTGTTCAGCTGCAGAAGGTCAAACGATCTCAGCTGCCTGGCCTGGGGTGAGGAGGTTAGCATTACACACCGCTAGGTCAGGGAATGGGTTTCTCTGTCCAGAATCTTCTGTCCGATTGATGAAGTCAATCGAGAACAGGAAGGTCTCACTGGGACAGAAGAAGTTAGGCAGCCAAGGTGTCGGGAAGTCAGAAGGACAAGGCAGGAGTTTGCTGTGGTTTATACATTCAAATGAGTCTCTTTATGATAACCTTGTGATGAGTTCTTGGGAAGAAAACAAAAATCCAAAACCCTTCCTTCCCGGGACTCACGGTGGGAGCTCTCACCCCTTTAGGCAGCAGGTTAGTGATTCTCTTTCTTGTTCAGACCCTTTACAGCAGGCTCTGTTTTGCATTCAGGATTTTTCCCAAGAGCATAGCGGCTAACAGAATCTCCTACACCGACTGTTTGATCTTCAGCGACGGGAGAGCAAAACGCGCCCTGTTGGGCGTGCAGAGTCTTGAGTAGACGGTGAGGGCTGCCCTGGCAGCAGGGTGCCCTGCGGGGCTCTCTGTAATTTTTTAATCTCCAAGACTTACAGATGCTGCTTGGGTAGCTCCCTGCCCCCAGCCCCCGCCCCCCCCCCCCTTATTTGACCTAACCAACAAAAACTGGCAGTAAAATATGGCAAGTTACAGCCAAGGGGAGTTCTGTGTTGTCTGACTAAATACAGAGAACCTGGCAGCCGACAGCTGTGCAGAATGAAGCCATCATTTCAAGGATGGTCTCACCAGTCTGATGCCCTCAATTTAAGAATCAGTGTGTCACTCTACCCTCCTGAGCAGTCAGGTCAGCAGCTAGAGAGTACAAAACTAATGATGTGTGGGGATCACAGGACCCTGAGCGAAAACCAAAGACCCGTAATATGGCTGTGATGGGCCTTGGAGTCGTTTGTGGCAAAGCGAGTTTGGAACGCTCTGAAACTGAGCTCCTGTTCGTTTTCCTAAGGGCTGCAGGCTGCCTGGGTCAGCCATATGTTTACTCAATATCTTCTCGAGCCACAGCTGTGAGTGTGGTGATCGGGTACTGATTGTCCGCAGGGGGAAATTATTTTAGTGCCTAGAGACAGGTCCATATAGACACACAGGGATGACGTGGCCACGGATGAGGCTCCCAAGGAATTTACCCTCTTCATCTGACAGATGAGGAAACAAGGCACAGAGCTGGTTTCATCTAAATGTGTGGTTCCTACTTTGTCCCTGGAAAGTTCCCAAACTGCCCACACAGTAAGGCAGCCCCAGAGCCAGGGCTGAAATCCACCACCCGCCCTGCCCTCACTCTGCTGCCTTTTCCCATGAGGCCCCCCTCATGGCTGTAGGAGACCTGTGTGTGTTTTTAATTCTTAAAATAGCAGCACTAATGAGGAGACTTGGAGGGGGAAATGTCACCCTCTCTTGGGAGAGCCTGAGAGCTGTGTTAGTGGCAGGAGGGTCACTGGTTGGGCACACGGAGTGGCCCAGGGCCACTCAGTAAATGGATGAGTCAATGTGCTGCCAGCACCTGTGCTTAGATGCAGCCCTTTCTGCCAGGTATGTCCCCCCTGTGTGGATGAGGGACTCTGCCCCGCTCTGTCACACTCCCACCTCACCGGGAGGGACACTCAGTGTGACGAACGTGTAAATGTCCCCTGCTCTGTCTAAGGCAACTGTAAAGTAAGGCTCAATTCTTTTCCTCTGATGAATGGGGAGACCGGGGCTCAGTCCCGGAAGTAACCAGCTCAAGTTCACGTGATAGAGAATGTTGGTACTAAGATTGGAGCCCACACTGTCTAGCTGTAGGCTTTATTCTCCTTCTCCACGCTGCCTTTCCTTAGGATTTCCAAGGGGGCAACTGTGCTCAGATGCTTGCTTAGAATAAGTCAGGAAAGCAGGAAAGAGCAGAGAGAATCCATCGATTCCCCAGGCCTGGCCCAGGGAGATGTGGGGAGGGGGAGGGAGAGGTCTGCAGGGCCTGCAAGGCTCAACCCAGGGCCTTCTCAGGTCTTGAACTGGGCACTGTCCTGGCCTCTGGCCAGAAGAAGCCCTTTGGAGCCTGGAGTGTCCTCTCCCTCTCTCTCCATCTTCCGTCTCCTTGCTAGTTTCTAATACTTTCTTTGCAGGTTCAGAAGTCACTTCCTCACAGTGGTGGCCTTTGTGGACTCCCACAATTTTGCTGTCAGGGCCTTTGGAGACAAGTTGCTGTCCCCTCCTGGGGACAAGGCCACTTCTATCCCATTCCTCTCTGTGTCCAGGCCCAGAATCAGCCTGGCCACAGGGCAGGGGCAACCCTCAGTACATGCTGCATTTATAAACCACACTGATAGCCAGACATATAGACATAAAAAAGTTTTTATATTGCTAATAAGAACAGATGGTTCCTTCTTAATAAATGTAGTGATTTCATTATCTGTGACCCACAGGTAAATAGGTTGCTGAATAACCTCCTGGATGCAGAAAATACCAGGAGAAGAAAGAGGAAAGTGAATGGTCCATAGTCCTGGGACCCTGGGACCGGCTCACCACACCCAGCATGCTTCCAGGAAGATGAGAGTGACAATGTCGAGCATTTCACACACCACCTGGCACCTTCTTCTTAACGTCAACTTTAAATATGTGACAGAAAAATACTGCTCCCAGCCTTCTCATGGGAGGCTGCTTTGTCCTCTACCATCATCAAGGTTGAGCTTCTCTGTTAAGGAGTTCATCCACCTATCAGTTTCCTGGTTCCTTATCCACTCCCAAGCCTCACTGAAAATATCCTAAGAACAGGATTGCACATCATACATCTCCAAAACTTCACGGTACCAAACATATGCCTTTGCACACAGTGGGTGCTCAAACACATGTTTCTTACATTAATAGACTCCCACTGTAGACACATCTGTTGACTCCTGTAATTTAGCAATATTAAAGAAATTTCATGACGTCATTTTTTTTTTTACTGTTTTATTTATTTATTTATTTTGTGAGGAAGATCAGCCCTGAGCTAACATCCATGCTAATCTTCCTCTTTTTGCTGAGGAAGACCGGCTCTGAGCTAACATCTATTGCCAATCC